ACCCAATGGAACGTCTCTTTGCCAACCAGCAGGTGTTTCATATCAGCTGCTTCCGCTGTTCACATTGCAATAGTAGACTCAGGTAATCTGTGCAGAGGGTGAGGTATATGTGTGTGTCAGTCCTTTAGAAGGAAATTCAACCTTCCTAAAACATAACAGGAAGCTTAATACGATACTGTGCAAATGTTCATTTGTGAATACAGGCAGCTGTAGTCTAGTTGATTGAGCAAGGGCCTGGGAGTCAGGTTCTACTCCCAGCTCTGCTGCTAACTTGAGCATGACCTTGGACATGTCACTTGAATTCTCTATACTAGTTTTCCTATCTGTAAGATGGGGATAATACCTACCTGCTGTAAAGATCTTTGAGCACTTAAGAGGAAAACCCATAGAAATGCCTTTTTTATACTGGGTAGGAGCTTTCCTCTGGCGACACCAGGTCAACACACTATAAAACTTGCTTTTCTAAAAACTTTAAGATGTTTAATGCCAAGTTTTTCAGTGATCTAGCTAAAATTTGGGCCTTAATCTACAACTGATTGAGAGACATGCAAAGTGCTAACATTTTGTTTTCTTGAACAGTCTTGGAACATATGCATCTCTACGTGGGAATATTTATTGCAAGCCTCACTTCAATCAGCTCTTTAAAGCCAAAGGCAACTATGATGAAGGTTTTGGGCACAAACCGCACAAGGAACTATGGGTAAGCAAAACTGAGAATGAAGAGTCCCTGGAGAAATCTGCCCACACTGTAAATACAATAGAAGGCCCTCAAAGTCCGGGAGTAGAGGATGCCCCAATTGCAAAGGTGGGAGTTCTTGCAGCTAGCATGGAAGCAAAAGCTGCAGCTTTGCCTGGAAGGGAAGAGAAACCAGCAGAAACAAAGAAACTGAGGATTGCCTGGCCACCTCCATCAGAGCTAGGTAGTCAAGGAAGTGCATTGGAAGAGGGTATCAAAGTATTTAAGCCAAAGTGGCCCCCAGAAGATGAGGTGTCAAAGCCAGATGTGCAGGAGGATGTGGACCTGGATCTCAAAAAGCTACGAAGAACATCCTCACTGAAGGAAAGAAGCCGTCCATTTACAGTAGCAGCCTCATTTAGAACAATGTCTGTTAAGGGCCATAAAACAGAGAATGTATCTTCTCCTTCCAAAGCAGATAAGGTCACGTTCAATCAAAATGAAGAACTAGAGAGTGAGGCAGTGATGGAAAGAAAGCGAAAGGAAAAAAGAGCTGAGAATGGGAACATCCAGAACACTGAAGAGAAGAATAAAGAACTGGAGGAAGAAAGAGGAAGGGAAGTGCCTGATATCATGGCAGACAGGGAAGAGAACTTGGTACAGAATGGTCAGGTGGGTATGGAGACAGATGAGGAAGAAAACGCCACAGTGCAGCAGCCATCTCCAAATAAAGAAATCTTTGATTCCAACTCTCCTAAACATTTCAGCTTATTGAACATGGTCCCTGCCAAGGAATTATCCCCTAGCCAGAATAGCAAATCCAAAGATGTTGTGTTCTGGGAAGATGAAGATGTGGAAGATTTGTCTGTGGAAGAACAGATCAAGAGGAATCGTTACTATGAGGAAGAGGATGAAGATGAAGAATAAATTGGCCTTTCACTAGAAAACTTGCTGCAAGGTGCTGGGCCTTAAATTGGTGTATTAGCTTTTAACAAGCAGCTGCCCTCTGTGAAAGTGATGCTATCCTGCACGTTGACACATTAGGGAACAACAGAATGTACAGATATGAGGTAGAAAAGTACACTAGAAACCTGCAAAGATCATGTCTAGCTGTATGGAAACATGTTTGATCCCTTGGTGTGGGACAGCTGTTCCTACATCAGGTAATCACAATTTACAGCATGAGAACACAAATCTATTCTATACCCTGGTCATTGTATTTTATTCTTTTTGTGCTTTGGCGCTTATTCCAGTAACAGTAGTTTGCAGGATTCCACTGTACTCCCAAAGGTGGTATTAAACACTTTCTGTAATACACTATTATTACCACTGTGAATGCTACTGCAGTGCTTAGGGACCAATTCCAAAGGGACTTGCAAGCCTGCTTTAAAAATGACTGAATGCACTTTAATACATGTAAAGGGCACAGTTGGGATGTTTTCCTCATGAAAACACTAATTTTCTTTGTGCTTAGTATCTAGCAACTAAAATATATTAAGTACACAGAATGCAATGTAATTCTTTTTATTTGCTTGCTCTTGATGAGTGGAAAACTTCTTACTTTGCACTCTGCTCTCCTGTATACACAACAAATTCTAAACTGGAATTAAGAGGTAGTACAGCCCTCTGGCTGGCTAATGCACCAGTGTGCCCCTTGCTGGAATAGTAGTGCAGATCAAACCCAATGATGACTGACGATACTCTTGAAGACAAACCACCCCTTTCACAGGAGTCTGCATTCCATGTGCATTTTCTGAGGTGACTTTTTTCTACTTTTAGATTTCATTCCCTCTTCTGATTCACTTAAAACTGCAAATAACTTTTTTGTAAGGCCTTTTGACAGTTCTTAAACCCTACTTGTACCAAACTGCTAGAGATCTTTTTTTAATAGTTACAACTGTGAGACATACACATACAAAATCTAAGAGAACTAGACAAACAGTGGGATTCTTTCTGGGAACTGGTTTCTAGCAAAGCTTTTAGTACATTTTTAAACTTGACCGGATTTATTTTACAAATAATAATATGAATGGGGGGGGGTTATTCCTACAGTAGTTTATTCTCTGTACTGTATTCACTTGAGAATTAGTCCTAACTATATTTTTATAGAGGTGTAAAATATTCTACTTTCTTCCAATCTTGCTAAATATGAAACATTTGTATTCAATAAAGCATTGTAATTTACTTTGAACTCTAAGGCTGAAGCCTAATTCATGTTTTTGTTTTAACTACAATAAGACAGTATATAAGATGACCTTGGTTGAGAAGGTTATGAGTTATCTTCTCTTAGCATTGAAGTCTTCATAATTTGATTTCATACCACTAGGTGACACTGTTGGACCACTCTAGCCAGTTTGGCAAATGGCAATACACATGCTCCTGGAAGAGGAATTAAAAAACAGGATAGATCAGAGGGACAAACTTGTTTAACCCTTTCATTCTTGATTTTAAACAATTCTTAGAGAAAAGGACTTGAAGGCACTTCCCTAGTTACATGTGCAGGTCTGGGGGAAACCAAGTGACTAGTGGTAGCTGTAAGTGGAGCTCCTTAGGGAAGGGGCAGACTGGGAAGATCTGGGAGGAAATACAGTAGGGAGGTAACCAGCAGCAGTGAGGAACCACTTTGCAGTAGGGGGAGAAGTCTAGTAGGGCAGTTGTCTGGCCGGAAGACATTTAGCAGCTATAGATACATGGTGGCAATGCACAGTTGCATGAGATGCTGGCTGGCAGGAGGTGTTGGGTACACAGCCAGGCTAATCTGATCTGGGAGCTGTTAATCATGTTCGGACTATAGAGTTAAAGAATGCATTTTTCTATTTCTGCTAAAATGCAACTGGGGCCTGATTCTCCCTCACTCCCATGAAAAACACAAACTCCCATTGAAGTCAGTGAAAGCAGCAGGTGCTCAGCACATCTGAAAAGCAGGTCCTTGGCCTATGGAGGTGAAGAGTAAGTAAAATGTGCTGTCTTCCTGTTTGTTCAAGACTTTAATATTTCAACATTTAATACTCCAATTCAGATACTAAGTCTGAAATCACATTTGTTAGATGTGCCCAATACCCGTCCCATGTGGAGCCAATACTAACTTATGACATGGATCAAGTTGTGGGAAACATGATGTAGCTCATGGCACAGCTAGCTGAGTCCTTGCCATTATGCATCAATGAATACAAGTGCCATGATTCCCAAGATGAGACGGTTCAATTTCTGGGATATAAGACTCACTATTGCCCAATCTTGGTGAATGACACTATAATAGTTTTCCCCCCTAGAGACGTTTGTATCACCAAGAGTGTCTCCTAAATGTTAAGTTTTTGCCAAAATTCTAATATCTGTGCCCTTTCCAGTCATTGTTTTGTATTAGTGGCTATCACCACAATATGAGTGCTTTACATAGGCCAGTTCATTTGCATCCACGATAGAGCAGCTGCTATGAGAACTAACAGAGCCACAAATTATCTTGTACAGTGTACTCAGATCCTCAACCCTAAGACACATTTACTAGATGCCCTAGTGTGATGGAATTTCAAAGCCTATTTGAGAAAATACACCAAAATAAGCAAATCTTAAATCAATGGCAACCTTCCACTAATAAACAATATGTTTTAGGCACTCCATTTGGTTTTATATACAAATATTTTTTGAGAACTCTTAGACAATACAGAGCATAGTCTACACTCAAGCCACACTTCAGAACTGAAGATTTCTTCTGCACCCTTCATTTGTGAGCAACTGCATGGATTTGGCTGCAGAATTAGGTCCTCCCTTTATAAATGGGATGAGTAATAGTCTGAGAATTTTAGGTCTACATATTCAAATTTAATCACTACTCCTATCTTTGAAGAAAGTAGCTCCATGGCTGATGGTAATTAATAAATGAAAACGCTAAGGACTTCTATCACCCTTTCACTGCTGCTCCAAAGTTTCAATAATGTCTTTATAATCCAAAGTAAGTTCACAAAGAGCATAGGAAATGCATCTCTCAGTTCTCATGGTCTCTGGTGCCCTTGTTCCTTCCAGACAGTTGGTGTGGCTTGCTTTCAACAAGAGGAAGAAACTGGACCAGTCTGCAGGAGTTTCCTGAAGGACAGGAGAACTAATCTATCCAATACTCTCATGTCATTCAATCAAATAACTAGAGCATTGCCCAATAAATTAGGGGGAGACAGTGTGGTCTAGTGGACTGAACATAGGGCTGGAAGATGGGAACTTGTTTTCAATCTTGATCTGCTAATAGCTTGGGACATGAGTCTGTTTCACCCTCTTTAAAATGGGCATAATACCTCTTCCAGGTAGTGAGGACAATTTGTAATGCAGTTTTAAACAAGTACTATAGAAGTTCAGGAATATGAATTCAAGATTTCTTCCCCTGCCTCTCAAACTAACTAGGTAAAATCCAACTGGGATTTAAGGGGAAATTGTTTTGCTAAAATATTTGTTTTTAAAATTATTAGTTTCTTTACCACCCCAATGGAGGAAGAAAGAGAGCAAAAATATCTGTTTGTCTATGTCCCCTTCAAGCATTTGCAAAAAGCAGAGCACCATGAAGGTGCTCTAGGGCAACTGGCTGATCATAAGACTTACAGTTCTAAATTCAATAAGTTAAATCTTCCTAAATTTTCCTCGCTCAGGTGCGGTTGAGTGGGAGTACTTCTGACATCTCTGTATTTTTATTCTAAATCTCACCTCAGTTTAACTCTTCTATAAACCCTAGCACCAGTTCACATTAAATCTCTGGATGACCTGTTAATGCTATAATCCCACTCATACTTACTGTACAGTGTCAGTTGCCCACTCAAATACCCTCACTCAACCTCCTCCTAATTAGCTGAGCTAGTGGCTTTACCACCCACACGGGCAAACAGGTTGGGAGTAAGGGTGTGGTTTTGTGTATCTTCTCAAAATCCAGTAAGGGAATAGCTTTATGTCACTTCCAAAGTCTCTGGACCTCTACTGAGATTGCTCCAATTTTTCTAGCAGTTCCATCCTACCAGCTTTGAGGAGTTTAACATTATAAAACACAAAGATCCCTAATCAATTATTTTCCCAATATATCTAGTGGCTTTATGACCATATGAGAATCCTGTTTAAAAACTACTGTCCTAGTTTTCAATACACTGCATCTTGCCTTGTCTCTCCTCCTAACTCTTCTAGAGTGAGTCTCTCTGTTGTCCTAACTTGCCTGTTGCTACACGTGCTTTCTCTGAAGCTCACCTTAAACAGCCTCCCTGTATCCAGCTCATTTCAAATCACACCTGAGAATCTTTAATTTGTGTTATATTTGTATCTTTTCACTTTCTGTCCAACTCTTCACCTACTGTAGACAATTCAGTGACTTAAGTAGCTGGTCATCTAAGGCTCACAAAGTGAATGAGACTTAAGTGCTTGTCACTTTTGAAAATGGGGCCTAGGCACTTTTGAAAACTCTTACCATCTAATGCTGTAAAATATAATTCAGTAATGCATTTTGTGATATATTGGGATAGAAAGTGGTATCAATTAGCTTACTATTGATTGACAAAGCTACCATTATCCAAGCTGTGGAGCACAATACAAATGAGCTGTTTATTGTCCAAGAGATGGAGTTTAACCTATAACTAGGGACACTAAATGGTTAAAATAGGGGTACACTTTAACTTTATTGGAAAAGATTTGTAGGTCAATTGTTTTAGGCAGACTGCTGGTTTGATGTGGCATGTGCTTCCTGTGTGCCTATATACACAGACAGGTAGCCAAGTGTCATGTTATCAGATACAATAATTGTATTGACTCTGTAGAAATTAATTATAAGTTACTGATGTGCATAGGTGTTCTAAAGGGAAATAGGATTTCTGCCCCAATCAAAGAGAGCTTTCAAATTAGCTCTGAATAGTAAACCAGTGAGAGACTGCTACGGGTTTAGAAAGTGGGATGTGAGAGAGAATAGTGGTGGGGAGAGTATGTGCTCTGACAGGGCATTATCCTTCCCATTGTAGCTACTACTGCTTTTACAGAAGGGTATAGTTTTAAATGGCCCAATTTGAAGGAATGGGGTCTGGCTGAGCTCTTTCCTTGTCTTCAGTAATCATTCATACTCCTTTTTTCCCCTGGGCTTGTGGTCTGAACTAAAGTTGTCTAGATTTTCCTCTGACTGTGGCTGCCTCAGAGGACTAGTCTAAATGAGTGGTTTTCAAACTGTGGGTCACAACCCAGTACTGGGTCACGTAATGAAAGGCACTGGGTCACGGCGGCTCTGGTCGGCACTGCTGACCCGTCTGTTAAAAGTCCTGTCAGCAGTGCCGCCCGGCTAAGGCAGGCTAGTCCCTACCTGTTTCGACACGGTGCTGCGGCCCGGAAGCAGCCAGCAGCAGGTCCACAGGGGATGGGTCACTGGATGATTCCCTGTTCTGTTCATTCCCTCTGGGGCACCTGGCATTGGCCGCTGTCGGCAGACAGGACACTGGGCTGGATGGGCCTTGGTCTGAGCCCGTCGGACGGTTCTGATGTTCTTGAAGGCAGCAGTTGTGCTGTGGGTTTTGGTGAGTGGGCCGGGCTCGAGGGCGGGTAGGCCTTGCCCTGAGGAGGGGAAGCGGCCGGCGGGCTGTAGTGGTGGGGATGGCGCGGGGAGGAGCCGCTCCGGGCATGGGGGCGGGAGGGG